GCTTAGGCTTTTATATATTTTTAAATGTTTTTGCATATTTTCATTTCTGACCTCTAGGTGGCAACCACGCCAAGCCTTGTGACCAGCAGTGCAGCAACTACCCTCACAGTCAACCCCGTCCTCCCTCTGACCAGCGCTGCAGTAACCAACCTCTCTGTTACAGGTAACCACCTCTCTAGTACAGGTAACCACTTCTCTGGTACAGGTACCCACCTCTCTGATACAGGTAACCACTTCTCTGGCACAGGTAACCACACCTCTCTAGTACAGGTAACCACTTCTCTGGCACAGATTACTACCTATCTAGTACAGGTAATCACCTCTCTGGTATAGGTAACCACCTCTCTGATATAGGTATGTGGCAGCCAGACTGTGCAGCTGTGAGGCAGCTGGTAGCCGTGAGAGGTTCCTGTGAGAATCTGCCATTAAGCTGTGAATTACAGCTCTAGGGAGGTATTGCTTTTTTAAAAGTTATATGTGAAAACCTGAACTCCAAGAAAAATCAGGCACAATTAATTTTGTCAGAAATAATACTTTCACACAAAGATTTCATCTTTTTGTTCTTTTTCACCTTACTCTGTCTTCTCCATTACTCCCAGGATTACCTCTCAAAACACACACTTTTTTTCAAGTAGCTCTTCTTAAAAACCTTGACTATATAGCTTTTTGCATCAAGACAACATCAGATCAGATGCCCCTTCGCTTTGTAGAAGGCACTTTCCAGTGTGACCCTTGTCTCCCCTGGTCGCCATCCCCTATCCTTGGCCCACAGCGGCTGGCGGGCCTGTGAGCAGGTGCAGCCTCAGGTGTCGGCCAGCTGCCTGCACGCTTCTGATGGTGGCAGGGCTGCTCTGGGTCAGGTGTCCATTCCGCCTGGAAGTAGTGTTGAGCTCCCCTGCAGAACTTTCTGTCCCCTTCCTGTGTCACCAATGATTATAGTTTTATAATTTATTCTCTCTTTGCCAATAGACTTTGTACTTCTCAAAAGGCCTGGATTTTCTTTTTTAATCTCTGCCTCGTTTAGTGCCTGACACATTCACTATAAAATGAATGACTAAATTTTTCCCTGTGCCACCTTTTGAGTAGTAGATTTCTCAAATACATTTAAAATGAACTCAGTGCTGTCATCAGCAGTTCTTAATGGCACGATGTGTGAGGCATTCTGCGATTATTTGCCGGGTTGATGATGGGTATGAAGCTCTGGGCGGGCGGATTTCTGATGGTTCACGGTGCAGTTTGGATTTAACCTCCAAGTGGAGAAATTGATTTTCCTGCACTCGTATTTAACTTCATCGTACCTCTTTGGCTCTGTCAACTGACCATGGCATGTAAAGTGAATAAATGTTTTTATTCACGTTTATTAAATTAAGGATGAACTTTGCCTTTTCCCTCTTTATCTGTCTGTATCAGTATGAATTCAAACATTCTTTTGTATCCAAAAGGTTAGAATTGTACCCCTATTTCAGTTTAAATTGTCCCAGATTGGCCAGTGGGAGTCCCTTCAGCTGGCTCCCCTGTCCTTCTTTAAGTGGTTCCTTCTTTTTTGGCACGAGGTGTTTAGGCTCATCTTCACGTTTCTCTGCCCAGGCCGGGAAGCAGCCATTTCTCCAAGGTTTCTGAGTTCCAGTTAGTGAGGAAAGGACTTTGGAACCAAGGTGGAGGCATCACTGATACTCATTGTTGCTTCTAGGGCATCTCAACTGAAATAAGTGTGCGCACACACACGGGAATGTGTGTAAGATACACACGTGTGTGCACATTCACTCTGCACCATCCATCTTCACTAGCTGTCCCATGTATTAAACCCATGCATCCATACTTAGTCTCCAGTTCCAGCCCAACACCCTCTAGTTTAGCGGTTCTCAACCTGTGGGTCGCGACCATCGGAAAACACATATAGCATATCAGATATTTACATTACGATTCATAACAGTAGCAAAATTAGTTATGAAGTAGCAACAAAAATAATTTTATGGTTGAGGGTCACCACAACATGAGGAACTGTATTAAAAGGTTCACGGCATTAGGAAGGTTAGTTCATTATTTTCTAAACTTAGGTTCTAACGGGTTTGTTTTTGTGGTTCATATGTATAGATGCACTAACAAGGTTAGTGAAAAGTACCCATTTTGAGGTGCTGGCTGGTAGAGTCATTGGTCAGTTGTTCCTGGAGTTGGCTGAACAGAGACCCGCCTCCAGGCTCCCACAGCTCCTTCCTAACACAGCCCTCTTTTCAGGCACTACAGACACCACCGCCAACAACACTGCGACCGTGATTTCCACCGCACCTCCGGCCTCCTCCGCAGTCACTTCCCCCTCGCTGAGCCCCTCCCCTACTGCCTCAGCCTCCACCTCTGAGGCCTCGAGTGCTAGTGAGACCAGCACAACACAGACCACCTCCACTCCTCTGCCCTCTCCTCTCGGGACCAGCCAGGTGATGGTGACGGCGTCAGGGCTACAAACAGCAGCCGCGGCCGCCCTCCAAGGAGCTGCGCAGTTGCCGGCGAACGCAAGTCTCGCTGCCATGGCTGCCGCTGCAGGACTGAGCCCAGGTCTGATGGCACCGTCTCAGTTCGCAGCTGGGTAAGGGCTTTCTCGTCTGTTCCCACCTGGGAGTCCACACGGAGGTCATCCGGGGCTTACTCTATGGGAGACTCTCCATCTTCATCTTCAACACAAAATCCAAAATAAAACTCTTTAAGCCTTAATGTCTTTGAAATGGGTTGCTCTGTAGCAGCTCAAGGACCTTGCTGATTGCGGACTTAAGTGTCTGGACACCCTGGAAGGGCAGCAGTCAGACCTTCATTTCTAGGTGAGACACGAGCAGCAGGCGCTGGCCGTGCCTCGGGGTTGGGCCAGGGGGAGCCCACAGCTTCCGGCTCTCAATCTCACTCGTTCCTGCTGGCCTCTCAGCTGACCTCTTTCTGACTCTCAAACGTGCGGAGGGGCTGCGCAGTAAGAATTACTCTATAGATATATTTATTTCTCAGGCATTTGCTTCTGTTTTGAGAAAAGAGAAGGAGATAATGCAGAGCAAGTTTGAATGACTACGAGTTGGACACTGTGTGGTCATAGTCTTGTTTGGTTTGCACAGTGAGCTTCAGGGAAAGCAGAGACTCAGGCTGTCGACTGTAGAGAGGACAAGAGCTGCAGCTGCTTCCATCGCCCCCCCTCCGCGAGGCCTGCTTCCCCTTGGGCGTGACGTCACGCTGACCGCTGTGTCTGCTCTTTTCACTTGCAGAGGTGCCTTACTCAGTCTCAACCCAGGGACCCTGGGCGGTGCTCTCAGTCCAGCTCTGATGAGCAACAGTACACTGGCAACCATTCAAGGTCAGTACAGCTGCTTTCCTTACTTACCTCTTTTTTTCTTTTTTTTTTAATGGAGGAAATCTACTTTGCCAGAGGTCAGGGTGATGGGGAGACAGTTGAATTGATAATGTTGACTAACTTGAAGACCAAGAAAATGTCTTGTAAAAAAGCTTTGTGAAGAAATATAGGTGTGGTTTGGGCGTTAGGACAGGAAGCCTACTAGTTTAGTGTAAGAAATCAGGACTTTTATGCTGATATTGACCTTGTTATCTGTATAGACTTGGGGACAGACTTTCTCCCTAACAAGTTTATTGACTTAGTCATCCAAGACCTATGCCTAGGCACCCTGACCAAGTAAACCCCCGTCCTCATCTCCACCCCAAGAGAGCACAGCTGAGCAGTCCCCTCGGAGCACATCGGGGACTCCAGGAGCACTTTGCATCCTTGCCGGGCCTGCCCTTTGTTCCTTTGGTGTCCCCGTCCTTGCCTTTCCCAAGGCCAGTGGGTCTCTTTGACCTTCACGTGCCACCAGTCTCAAGTGCGTCTGAATCCCAAAGGGTTTACTGAAGGGTGTGTCTTATGTCCCTCGGCTTGTGTCTGAAGATGCTTGAGAGACATCCCTGTATAATCAAAGAATGTGAATTTTTTTTTCTTACAATTAAAATAGTCTGTGCTTAAATGAGAGTTCTTGGGGCCAAAAATAAGCTGTTAGCCACTTGAGTAAAGGTGCTGTCCGGTGGATGATATTCCTCCAGTGTACGTACCACAGAAAACACTGGTCACCAACAAGTCCCAGACATGGGCTGGACTGCCTGGCCTCACACTGACCTCCGTGCTGTGTAGAATCGGTGGTTAGCTCTGTGAAGCTTTTGTTAGCCAAGGACTCCTTTTTGAATAAGACTGTGAGAAGCCACTTTCTTGGCAGCAGGTTTCTTTGGGTGGTCGTGATGCTCCAGACACTGCAGGCGGGAAAGACCTCTCTAGGGAGATCTAGAAACGGTCCACGGCACTAAGCCTGGAATCTCAGAAAACTTCAAGCCACAACAAGTCTCCCCGTGTGTGCTCATTGTGTGATGGTGTCCAAGTCAGGGACGATCCCTCAGTCCCTCCAGCTGTCTTTACATATTACATAAGAAATCAACCAAAGTCTTAAAGCCTAGAGAAACCTTCTAATCTGCATGTGGTTTTATGGGTCAGGGAGATATTGGGGGTTGTCAGATAACGGAAATTTAGTAAAAGGGAATGCCCGCTTATTTTTTTAAATTGATTTCAGAGAGGGAGAGAGAGAGAGAGAGAAACATCAATGATGAGAGAGAATTACTGATCGGCTGCCTCCTGCACGCCCCACACTAGGGATAGAGCTGTAACCCAGGCATGTGCCCTGACCTCCTGGTTCACAGGTCGATGCTCAACCACTGAGCCATTCCAGCCGGACCCCCACTTATTTTAAAGAAAATCTTGCTGATGCCTTCATCACAGAAAGTTCTCAGGTGCTAGAGCGAGTCCTAACCCACGATGGCCCACGTGGGCATCCCCACATCTCTGCTCCCTCCTGTAACACCCACCACGCTCTGCACAAGTTAGAAGGGGCAAACTTGGTCACACCTTACACTTTACTTGCTAACTTAATTTGTTTTAGAACAAAAGCCTTTGGAAAGATGGCTTTTCATCTTGTGTATGAAGCCATAGAGTGCTCAGATTTTTCTTAGTGCCAGTGGATTGATAAAAGCTGACTGTATTTTAGTGCTGTGATTGCTGGAGCTAGTTTGTCATGTGAAGGGAGTTTAACATTGGCAATCTTTATTAAAAACAGTCGCTGGATTTACCTAATGCTGTCGGTGGGCACTGAAGTCAGGGAAGCTCCAGTGCAGATGCAGCTCTAGTGGGTCAGACAGGCCTTACCTCCCTCCCCCCGGCTCACGCTCACTAGATTGATCAGTCCTTTAGGCCAGCAGTCACCAACCGGTGATCCGCGGACCACCAGTGGCCTGTACAGATCTGAAAGGTTGGTGACCGCTGCTTTAGGTCCTGCAAAATCATAACAAAACTTAAGGTGGGACAAGATGGCTCTCTGATTAAGAAAAACAGTCAGCGAAGGGCCGGGCTTTGTCGCTGGTTGTGGGAGATTGAAGTCATTTGGGGCCCTTGGCTTCTCTGGGATGGTATTAATGGTCTCCTTCCCACCTGTTTTGGGGGTTTGTTCGTAGCTCTTGCTTCTGGTGGCTCTCTTCCAATAACGTCATTGGACGCAACTGGGAACCTGGTCTTTGCCAATGCGGGAGGAGCCCCCAACATCGTGACCGCCCCTCTGTTCCTGAACCCCCAGAACCTCTCTCTGCTCACCAGCAACCCGGTTAGCCTGGTCTCTGCCGCCGCAGCCTCCGCGGGGAACTCTGGGCCTGTCGCCAGCCTTCACGCCGCCTCCACCTCCGCTGAGTCCATCCAGAACACGCTCTTCACAGTGGCCTCTGCCAGTGGGGCTGCCTCCACCACCACCACCGCCTCCAAGGCGCAGTGAGTGCTGCCCGCCTCTTCCAGTGCAGTGCCATCGGGCAGCCAGCTGGCGACCGCAGGTGCCCTGGCTCCCTCTTGCCACGGTGTGAGGGCGAGGGAGAGGAGAGCAGGAAAGACACGTGCCGGAAAGAAAGGATGAGGACCGGACTTCATTTGCCTAATTTTATAATAAAACACTGTCTTTTCAGGATTGCTTCATGGATTGGAGAACTTTCTAACCAAAAATTAAAAAAAAAAAAAAGCAGAAACAAAAAATCAAAAACAAACAAAAAATAAGTGAAAGGACTACTTATCATTTCCAGCGGTCACGGTGGCAGTCAAGGTGGGTTACCAATTCTAATATGAGTAGGAAGGAGATTTCTTGTTTGTCTAAAGTCCTTTTTTTCTTAAAAAAATCATTTTTATGGGTCTGTTGTACAGGCCACTAAGTCATAACAAGGTGTTTATAATCGTATCAATTGTGTTGGGGGTTCCTTTCTTAACTGGTACAATTTAGGCAGGCCCGCGTTACTGTATCTGTTATTGTTGTTGTCATGTTTTATATATATTTGGTTTGGACGTGTCTCGCTCCTGGATCCTGCTTCAGTGAGCTCCCACTGTGGGGAGGGGTCGGGAACTCGAGTCCTTCACTGCGAATGTCCTTGCTGGTTTCCTCACCCTGGACGCTCACAGAGGCCCTAGGAAATGTTTTCTGTTGCCACTTATGCAAGAGGCTCGGTGCAGAAGCTGAGGGCAGCGTGCACAGACGCTCCCACTCCACGCCCCCGTCAGGTGGTGCCTTTGGAGCACTTT